GTTCGATTCATACCTCTCCATTAGACCCCTTTTCTATAGACCTTGCTCGAAGAACGATATTGTGACGAGGATATATCATGTTTTGAGCCATAATCTAAGTGCTATACAGGCTTTCGTTCTACCGGGACTCAGCATCAAGCTTTTGAAAGCCATAAGCTTGACTGTCGGTCATTACAATGTCAGCCACTTCCATCGTCTGACTTGCGATGATTTATTGCTTGGCGTCAATTCCTTCATAGAGAAGTATAGCCTCAAGAGATCGGCTGATCCGAGGTCGGCGCTAATGACGAGCCCCGGTAGGACGGAACAGGCGCCTGTATGGCATTAGATCATGTCTCAAAACTTGTTATATCCTTATCAGATTACTACTGCTCGATTTCACAGATAGTGATCTAGATGAACAATAAGTGTTTTTCAAATTTTCAAAATAAATTGATCGTCGATCTCTTACTGAATCTATATGTCCTCAAGACTATTAGAGTGTGCAGAGCTGATCTAATGTTAAATATGGGCTATACGGTAATCACCGATTCTTACACATGTAACAAACAGTGTTTTTATTTTGACAAACAAGTCGGCTACCAATTTCTCAAACTCTGATAGATGAGAAAGGGGAGGTAGTTGGCTTGTCGTAGTGTCAATCCAATAACCTTGTTCACATGCAACTGAATCTCAAAGTACTGCTCTATGCTCAATTTTCCTGCTATGGCAGGTGATAATGGTGACAAGAATCAATAATATCCATTGGATCAACTTGGTTTTAATCTCGCCCTTGATCATTTTCTTCATATCCTTTATAGAGTGACACAACTTCCCACCAACGTTTTATTTGATTTCAAAGGAACAATCGACACCTGGTGGGGTTTTTGCCAATAAAAATTTCTCTAGTTCTGCAAATCCAAAACTCTACCAAATAGTAATCACTACAAAGCCAAAATTATATTGAGGCTTGTTATGATTTGTGAAAAACTTTTACGAGTCTAAATTTCTGATGGTTAAAGAATTTTACCGAGGCAGTTTGTAGGTCGCTCGTTCCGCAACTTGTGCGACAAAACTTCTTTTTCGTATCTCTTCGGCGAGTTTTATAGATGTAGTCAATGGAAACTGTTCAAAATCTGTAAATTCTTCTCTACACACCTTTTCGATCAAGGCGATTGAAATTCTTTAAGTTCTCATATGAAACATGTGGAAGGTTAATTACCGAAAGTGTTTCCTGAAGAAGAGTTGAACATATTTGTGACCTCCACTATAGCGTCAAAGACGGCATCATAGGGTAGCACTAGAAATTTCTTATTATTGAGATCTAGAATTCTTCTTTTGCAAGGTGACGCAGAATTGCTGAACCTCCTTACGCAACCCATTCTCATTTATCTGACCGTTTTTCAATGAAGACTTTTTCTCATATATATTCTTTCTGAAATCTTATAGTATCCGTGCTACAGGGTTTGGATCTTCATTAGAAATGAGGACCATTTTTGCGGAGTAAGTGAATAGGTTGACCAGACATTTTCTGATTTGTCCTGATTTTTCCACCCCGTATAAACTGAAGATTGGTCGTCGGTATCGTCGGTGAGTACTAAGCATAAACGTATCATACGACACTAGAGATCGAATGGAATTCTTTTTCTTTAACCTCTTATAGCGGTGGCATGACGCGTCGGGCGGAACTAGAACCGCACCTCGCTCTCTCCGGGAGCGCGTGATCTACTCGTTACACTGCTGACGCCCATTTTGCCTGACGCGAAAGTTTTGCAATCACTCTACATACATCACTGGGCATATCTGAAACATCATACCACCGCTGGAAGCGGTTAAATAAAAGGAATTTCACTTGATCTCTATACCCATATCTGCGAAGTGATTGGGTTCATGTCGAAAGCCGTTACCGGGACAGGCGTTGACGGCTGATGCTACAGATGATTCGCTGTAGCATAGAAAGAGTGATGTGCAAAGTGGGCGCCAATAGGTAACGGATAGAGCACGCGCTCCCGGAAAGAGTGAGGTGCGGGTTCGAGACCCGGCTGACGCGAAAGTTTTGCACATCACTCTACATCAATGGGTATATCACACGACAGTCTACGTGCTGAATAAAACTGACAATACAGCGTTAAACCTTGTAACTTCATAACGATGTTTAGTTGTGATGACCATTTATTGACTAGGTAAGCAGTGACTACAATTTAGTCCCAAATGATTAGTTTCGTACAAAAACAGCTCTGTGTCTCATTCTGCTGCTTTCAAATTTTGTTTTGCAAGTAGAAAATTGATGTTCAGGCTTAAAGAGAACAAACCTACGTTTGACTGACGTATTGCTGATAAAACTTTCTAAAACTCATTTAAACAATTAACACATTATTAAAACATTTAGTCACGCCGCCTGAATTCGTTGTGACTCAGTGTGTTCCTGCAGGAAGATAATGGAAGATCTGATAAGCTTTTGATAAAATTCTTAATTCAGCTGCATGACAAGCAAGGTAAAAAATTATATAAAGTCGGTTAAAACATAGTAGCAGACCAAATATTAACTGGGAAATCTGCTATTTTATTCGCAAGACGTAGAAAACTTCAATAGTTCTAACATTAAGTATCACTTCTACAAATGTTAATCATTTTAGACAGAATCCACCATCAGAATCCAAGAAAGAAAAGGACCTACCTGTCTGAGGAGCATAAAGTAGGAACATTGCTCTAAGCAGATTCGTCTCCAAGGCGCATCTCTTCCGGTGTTGATGCACACTGTACATTTCAGAAAAGGCAGAGTATTCGAATTTTTGGGTCCGGTGTTGTACAATATATGTCAGATAGCCTTCTAGAAGACTAAAATGATCATCAAGAATTTAGAATACCATAATGAAACTAAGAGAAGCATGAATGTCCCGAGAATTGAGACTCTAGTGAAAGTCTGTGGGGTTACTGGGTGAAGATATAGGATTACCTTGGTTTCATAACGACATCATAACTGGTTTATGTAGGTGAAAAAAGGATACTAAGCGAACACATTCCAGACTACGATCTGCTCTATTAGTTCTTATTATCCGGTAGTGAAGGATGAATAAGCTTACTGTTCTTTGATGATCTCTCTATGCGATAGGTGTGAATGATACGAGTAGACTAGAATAGCTTGAAAGTGAAAGACAGGCGAACAGCGTAATTTAAAATGATCCATTCACGTTGTTTACAATTCTGGTTTACTTTTTATTATACTAACCTCATTACATATAGTAGGCAACACTTTTGACGCCGTTTCTTATGGTATGATAGATAACGGTGGCCCATCATATTGCGTTATGATAATTGCTCTCGCAATAGCAGACCAGTTTCTCATTATAATAACGAGTATGGTATTTTTTTATTGTAATAATGTACACGCTGAGAGCAGAGCAAAGTTTAGCAGATTTTCCACAATTTCTGGTAATTATTTGATAACTAAAATACTTAAGGGATGTCTCTTGATGAACAAATATAGGTTTCATAATACGCTATTAGGTCTCCAACTAAGTTTCCGAACTTAATCCAGGAAATAAAAATTTTCCCACAAAAACAAATCTTTCTTTTACCTTCTTGTGCAGAATTATCTTGCGTATCGTTTGATGTATTCTGCACATTCTTGTCGAACAATGGAGTCGTCACGGGAAGTCAATCGTAACTTCCTGCTTTACGAGTTTTAATAGGGGAACAATTTCAAACTGCATCTGACAACATCAATCGCGCAAAAGGCTGCCAAGTTCTGAGTGAAACTATAGCGTATGAGTGGTTTACGACATTCGGAATGGAGTACTGATTTGGCCGATCAAACAAACATCCGGAAGACCTCGTGAAACTGATCGAGAAGCATTCATTGAGGCGACTGAAGAAGACCGACTTTGTCAACCAGTGGTTTGGCCGATGATTTCCAATGTTCACACGAGCAGACCCGGAAGATTTTGAAAGATGTAGGAAGAAATGGCTCAAGGGCAATTAGATTCTTCACGATCTCACACAAGCTCAATAAAGAGCAAAAGAAAGCAAATTGCTCAAGCTTATCTTCGTCGTATCGCCGCTCTTCATTTTTGAACAGTTGTCACCATTGATGAGAAATGGATTTTCTCCAAGAGCCAGCATCGTCCAAATCAGTGGTTGTCATCCGGTCAGCAAAGAACACCAACACCGAGACCAAATCGATTTGCGCCAAAAGCAATGTTGATCATTTTCTGGGACCGAGATGGGGCCGACTCATTGGGACTTGTTGCAAGCTGGTCAGACCATCAACGCTGAGCGATATTGTCAGCGACTGTTGCATTAAGTAATTCCATGTAACCGCCGTCGACAAATCATTTTGCTTTAAGACAATGCAGAACCACACGTTGCCATGGAAACAAGGAAGAAATTGACCGATTTGGGCTGGGAGCACTTCGATCATCTACCGTGTTCGCCAGACGCTTGTCTCCGTCACATTTACATCTATTCAGAACATTGGAGCATTGGTTGGACAAAAAGAGGTTTTGAGACATTAATCATTTGCGCCGAGAATTAACTAGTTGGTTGCACCAAAGAGTAAAGAGTTTTATGAGCGCGGAATTGATTTGCCGCCGGAGCGTTGGATTGCATTCAGGCAGACAGAGAATACTTCAATCAATGCATATTGAATTAATGTGATATACTGATGTAAATTTGATACTTTCGATTACTTGGAAAAGCAAATTTCTGAATTTTTGGATCAAGTTCGGAAACTTGGTTTGAGATCTAATATTAATAAACTTACAGATGCTAAAACTCTCGCAAATTTCGCTTCCTTCAGAGGCTGCCAAGGCTGAGTAAGCTGTAATCTAAGTAGCCAACTACTTCTACCACCTCAACAGTGAAATCGGCGCTTGAATTTCATTCACAAAGTAAACGCTCCTTTTCGAACAGTCACCGTCTTGATCTTTCCATGTCTTGTAGGTATAAATGGAGCCAGTCTCCCAGAGTTGCATGAAGGAGTAATGTATACCCAATAATGTAGAGTGTTGTGCAAAAACATTTGCGTCAGCCGGGATTCGAACACAGATCTCACTCTTTGTGAGAGTGAATGCTAACCATTGCACCACCGGAAGTAGTGTATTTGAGCATTTCAAGAAATCACCCTGAGGTATGGAACAAGGTTACGAGACATCACAAGTCGCTTTCTTTTACTGTTCATTTTTGAGTTTTCACAAATAATTTGAAATGGAGTGTCATACACGGTGATATTTTAGATACCTGTGCGAAAATAATAATTTTTGTAGTTAGGAGTCTCTTAGGACGAAACGTGTATCGGACTGTACAAGAGCCCTTACCAGACCACATGACAAGTTGGCTCAAATAATAATGATAGGATCTATTGAAATTTGAGCATGGTCTCAATAAAGCACTTCAAATAAAGGTATAATATGATAAAAATACCAACCAGCCAAAGAGCAATCGAGTAAGTTAGGCGAAAATTTCGCTTGACATAGAGGGTAAAACGTTCGTCTTAGATGACTCTCTGTAAAGAAGTAGAGCTCCCGAGCAAACTGACTATAAAAATATCGAAAGACGACAGGTTCTGCCCGACTGACGAGTCTGTAAGGACGAAACACGTGTATCGGGCTGTACAAGAGCCCTCACCAGACCACATTGACAAGTTGGCTCAAATAATAATGAAAGGATCTATTGAAATTTGAGCGTGGTCTTAATAAAGCACTCCAAATAAAGGAATAATTTTTGTTTCAAAATCTTCTGCCATTATATCCCTGTGCCCCTTGCGCGCCGAGTGGCATATTCGGTTTAACTTTAAACTTTCAGTAGGTGTACAAGTATGATTCCGGCGTTTTCTTTTTCTACATAGAAAACTACAAATTGGCAAATTTGCAAAAATGGCGTTTATTTGGGCGCAAAAGTCATCATCTTCAAAGTCCTATAAAGCAATTTTATAAAGTAATTTGTATGTCAAAAAAAAAACATTTTCAGCGCCAATTTCAAGCACAAAAGCTTCATGTCTTGGTTTCGTCGATTGCACATTTTCTTGTGAACATTTTGGCTTAGAACTTACCTACTTGCTTTGAGATAGACCTCGCTCCAAGCTACATTAATCCTGATCCCTTTTATCACTAGCATTTTGCCCTACTCGCCATTCATGCATGAGTAGGAAGCAAATTCGCTCTCATGTCAACTCCATCTTGAAGCAAGTATAGGCAAGTTGCCCCTACCAAGTTACTCGCAAGAAAATGCGTAATTGAACAATACCAAGATCAAGCAATTTCAATTACTTTTGGTTTGAAAATCTGCAAAAAAAACGTTCTCTCGAATGGCGTTTTTCGCGTCTACAAAAGTTTTCATCTTCAAAGTCCTGTAAAACCATCGCATAAAATAATTTCTATATAATAAAAAAACTCCTAGGTAAATAGCATTTTCATAGCACTTTCAAACAAAAAAAAGAATCAGCATATCTTTATTGTCACTATTACTACAGCAAAAAAGCCGCGGAGTCATATTTATACACATAATAAGTCAACAGACTAGGCGGCCTTTCATTCGGACGCAAGGTGATCTACTGCTTTCTTCAATTTATTCTTCATCGCATGCCTTACAATAAAATAAGTAAACCGTACCCGAACCCATGCAATGATCGTCTCCGACCTTGGGAACTATTATGCAATCTGTGATGTCACAGACCGTCCATACAGGCGGTTATGCACTAACTATCATCTGAGAGTAATTTGCAGTATTACAATCACTGCTACATCTCATTTGGCCTTTCAGACCATAGTTTTATAGCAGTGCTTATTTCGTATGAAATGGATGCCAGAATGAACGGGGCCTCATCATCGCGACTAATAGCTGAGTTTTGTTTTTCGTCCAAGCCTACTCCCATGAGCTGACGTTTTGTAGGCAAAACAAGCTCGACGTAACAGCACCTCTTACACTTGAAAGGTGAGAGAAGAAGTAATGAGCCAAAGTATTTCTACTATTTGGCTTTCAATGCAAATTTTTGTAGAACTGTTTTCGGGCACAGTCAGTACAGCGTTCAAAAATAGAAGCCAGTTTTCGTTCGGTTTCTTTTGATTGGTCTTGTGTTCAGTCATTTTATGAACTCGAAATGCTCATTTGACAAGTGAAACATTTATCAATCTTTTCTTTTGTAGAGCAGATGAAAACACAATCATCCATATATCTACAGTAGATTAATAAGTGTAGATCGATTACTGGAACTCCTTTTCAGAATATTAGTGCACTATGAAGTAGTGAAGACTTTTCTTAGCTGACGCGAGGTTGGTAGTAATAATAGCGGTAGTAGTTCAGCTGATATTTCGACGATCCACCTTCTTCAGAGCTCTTCAAACAAATGTGGTACTGGACTATTTGTACGTGCGCTTGTCCTTGCAGTCTCGACGATAGCCTATCTGTGGCGTTCCATAGGACGTTCGTTGTGACTGCCGTAGTGTTGAGGGGTGAGGATCGTACCTACGCGCGCCTCTACGAACATCACAATCACTCGGCCATGGCGTCCAGTTATATCTCCTATTGTATCATTGCGGTGTGTTATTTATCATTCTGCATTCTACTTTACACTAGTCGTCTGCACCTTCACTGTAGAGATCTCGCCACTTACATCTGGCTCGTTTCTTCGCATTTTGTTAGGAAAGTCGTTTGAACGCTGAGAGTCGCTTCCTACTGGAGTTCCAAGATGGTCGGACTAGAGAATTCCCACTTGAATTACAAAGATTGAGTTTTCTAGAGAAGTCGATGGCAGTTTTCCAACACAGAAGAGATGACAGACTTCGTGAGCGCGTTACGGGTCGAACTAGCAACGCATTCTTGATGATCCAGATCACTACCACTGCGGTGTCCTTCTACTTCCTATTTATACAGACCTTGTAAAAGTCCTTGTTAGCCAGTGTTTAAATCATATGAGCGTGCCCAGCGGCTTGAGTATGACAGCGACAGGAGCCATTCTGAACATTCGATCTCACTATGCAAAGGAAGAGCAGTCTTTTATGCCTTCAAAAAACTTTTAACCCTTTCAAAACCACGTGCACTACTCATAGTACACGTGCAATTTCGTGGTTTTCTCTTTGAGCACAGATTTTCATTGGACTTTCAGTAGTCATTCGATAGTTGGAAAAATTTTGGTCCTGATGGTTTGCTTGTTTTCTAAAAAGTTTTTCTAGTATATGTTTTTTTCTAGTTTTGCGATGGCCTCCCGATCTATCAAATCAAACATTCTATCAGATTATCCCTCTAAGGACCAAACAGCACTTTTCGTGGCCGTGCCGCGCGACGCCAAATCTGACTCAGCTACTGTAATGGCGGAGCGCGTCTCGTGAGAAAACAGGCGCATCTCGTGGGAACGCAGAAACAAACAGCATGACATCCTTGCACAGACGTGCAGACTCTGCCTCTGCAAGTGCTGCGCAAGCGACGGCAAGACGCCGTTTGCCTATTGGCGCTGTCCTCAAACGGTTATGTTGAATTTTTTTTAGGGAGGTCTCAAAATAGTCGATTGAATGTATCTCAGTATGCCGTGTAACCAAGCCGTAAGCCACCGACTGACAAAATCACTCTAGATCACCAATCAGCTGATCTTTTCAATTGACGAGGAGTCATACATCTTCGGCAACGATTCCTAATAAAAGTACGAGAAGATCAGCTGAATGGCACGTGCTACTATGAGGCTCCGAGGAAGCCGAAACGTACATCTAACACTCGGGGTGCCATACCAGATCTCTCAAAGGGTTCAAACCATGGTATCAGACTATACTGGGTCAGGCTGCTAGTGTGGTGTCAAGTCACCGGCCTCGCAGATGAAAGGCAAAGTGAGAGCGTGACACGAGATCGACCTACGGACCACGTGGTATCGCTGGGCACCTCTAACCACTGCGCTACGCGCACAAGCTAAAAAAGATGGAAACTGACACATCAGTCCCTCCAAACTTCAAAGACGGTATATACGCAATCACGTACATGTCACATATCGGACGACAATGCGTTACTTTATCTCCGTGCTCGTGTTTCATCTTGTTTTTTTTTTAAATTTTCCTATTATTTACTACTTTTGGCAAGTTACCAATCGGTTTCAGATATTATGGTTAAAGTAAAGAAAACAAAAAAGCCCACCTCGGCGCTCAATACACAATGTAAGTGATTTTAGAGTTTTTTTCGCTTATTTTTATATTCTATTTACTTCTACTTGAAATACTTATTCTTAGTGCCTTTCCAGCAGTGGTATAATCCCAGCAATATATTTCTAAGAGTATTGATTGATATACGAGGCATTCGACATCAGGCGGGAGTTGGACCCGCGTCACTCCATATGGGGGCGCGGCGCTGCCCCTACACCATAGATGCCACACCGCTCCGCTCTGGTGTCGAATGCTTTGCATATTAGTCGATACTTTCGATCTGTGTGCTTTTCCTCAGAGAAATTCTTTATAGCGCTTCCGTTCAATACGGAGAAAGGCCAACACATCTTGAAAAACCCCGGGATTATTAACGCAATCGTTGAAAAGGTCAGTTCGTTGGTTTTCTTCGGTGAAGTTTTCGTTTCGGTCTTTTCTAGCACAAATGAATAGGGCGGATCTTGGAGCGCCTTTAGCTGTAGGTCATGGATTTCGCGGAATTTCCTGGTGAATATGAAAATGTTCTGATTTAACCCTTAACCATGCCATGATTTAACCCATGGGGTGCGTTTCGTACCGAGCCGCGCGATGTCAAACCTCACTCAGTTACTATAGTGGCGGCGTCGCGTGTCTTGGGAAAACAAGCATACACCAGATATGCGGGGCCGCCCGCCTCACTGCCGCGCAGGCAACGGCGACATCAATGCCTCTATATCAACTTTGGTCCACTAAGGGTTAATTCGATTTAGCTTCTCTGAACTTGTTAAGGCACTCAGACTAATCGAAAAATCTTTCGTTTCTGAGCGAACGCATGTGGCGCATTGAGTAGATGTGCCCTGTGTCCAACACAAGGCCGATGGTTCGATCTCGCGCTCGTGACTCACGAAGTCGTATAGCCTCTTCGGGGCTATGAATTGCTACCGGACCGGTCTCAGACTTGTCTGGGAAGATAAGCAGCAGTGACTCGGTACAACGGGA